AACCTACCTTAAACATGAAGGACTAAGTAACAGGCAACCAAACAGTACAGTAAATTTAATTTACATTATAAAGCATAAAGAAATTTATGCTGAAACTCAGAAACCCATCCACAAAGTGAGCATTCTGACTGCAGAAATGTACCTTCTGCAAGGGATCACAAACAGGTGCATTTCCTTTTTCTGTCTCCCTTATTTCTTATATTACATTTGGTGAAGATAGAAGGTTTGAGGGACAGCGGGTTTATCTAATAATCCTTTTTACTATAACTATTTTTTATTTAACTGGAGATGGATTAACATGTACTGTTGTGAAAACCACATTGCTATGGCAACCTACTAAAAAAATAGAATCACTGTAGGTACATCACATACGTATTGACATGTTAGCACTCATGTGAGGGTTTTCTTCAATGACAAAAACATCTCCAGATTTTCTATTTCATATATGTGATTTAGGCACAGGCTGAATATAAATAATTCCTTTCTTGAATATTTACATTCTCATCTAACTATAACTGCCTTAACCCTGCAGAAACTCTAGCTACGAGAAAGTGACATTCAATTTAACTGAGCAGTACATGCTGACCTTCTGCAAATGAAGTGAGCATTTTATGTTTTCCCTCACACAGCATTGCTGTAAACAAGTATAGATACCATACCCTTTTTGAAGTAGTTTTAATTATTTTTTTTTGTATGGTTATAATTGTTAAATATCAATTTATGCATCAAAAATATATAAATGTTAAATGTTCACATAAATGTTAAATACCAAAAGTCTGATTATTTGAGCATTCAAAAATGTAGAAATGTTAAATGCTGAATCACTGCACATGAACTAAAAGAATGACTAACAACTCACACTAAACTGTATGCCACTTTAGTTGATTTTATATCATTTCAGTAATGCTCATGTTCTCATACAAGCCTTGGAACTCCGGCTTTCATGCTAACATTACATATTCCATAGCTAGAGAATGTAATTTGGAATATATTTTTCATACCTTTTTACAACTGAGCAATGGCTTTGGTTTCTAAGAAAAAGTGCAAAGCATAAATATATAAATATATATGTATGAAACACCTTTTCAGACTGGAAGCTATAATAAAATACCATGCTTAAAAAATCCCAAGGCATAAATGCATTTGCTATCTTTAATTCAAAGTAAAGGAGTTCTTTACAATTACTACATTCAAAACAAAAGTAGATACAAATCCGTTTTAATAGTATTCGGGTATTACACAGGACCAGTCAGAGAGACCACTGGGACACCCAGATCTTGATGAGTGCTTTGTTACATGGCTTTAAAGACAGATCTGGAAGGGGCTGAGACTGTGAATATGACATGGATCAGTTAGGAGGGCTGCCAAGGTTGGAGGGACTAATGTTGTACTTTCTGCATCAAAAAATGTGGAAGAATTTTATCCGAAGATAGCCCAAGGAAACAATTTCTCAGTAGTAAATGTGGGACTGGCAGAACTGCAGTTTTAGTAACAAGCAGTTAAATTTTCTTCTATGCTCAAAGGAGCTCTTCAGGCTCTCAAATCCCAGATGGATAACTAAATAAAGAATGAGTCTTTTGCGGTAAGAAACTACTTCCTGAATTTCAAAACAAATGTCAGTAAAATTTTGTAGGATGCTTAATTTGAAGCATGAAGCCCCAGTGGTTTTACTGCAAATCACTCAAGGATTTTTGGTTATACTTCTTTTGTTATTCAACTAGCTCAACTGGCTGATTCGAATCAAAAATCAAAAAAATTTGCATTTGCTAAAAGGAGCAACAGCTGTAAGTGCTGTTGCTGTCCTTGCAGTTCCACACAATGATGTTTAAAACAAGAGAAATAAAAACAAACTAAGGTTTGGATTTGTACAATTTGTACAATTTCTGTGCCAGATCTGGCTGAGAGATGAAGGAGAAAATAGTCTGCTGGGAACAGAAGACGATGGTAACTTAGTAATTATGTCTCTTGGTACCTGTTTTGTTTACTAATCAAAGGTCTAATTGCTATGCTTTATTTTAATTAACAATGTACTCATTTTAATTAGTTACTTTTCTTGCATACATTAGCATTGAGAGAAGCCACTGAGGATACGCATAATATGATGAAGAGTTTAAAGTTAAGCTTTTAACAATTTCATAAGTGTTTAATAATGAAAAACAAAGCTGTTCTTCATCAGTGTGGCTACTACTTCTCCAAGGATTTCATCTCAGCGAAAAAAATCAAAAAAAGTCTTTTTTTCTTTTAACTTAAAAAGTCAACATATACCAAATACAATTAACACAGGCACCAAAAGAGCTAATGTGAGAAAATGACAGGTTTGATAGCAGTCAGATATGCTAAAATGTTCAAACTGGGTGCATCTTTGAAACGTCCCAATGTGACAGCCACTCTCTTAAGAACTGATCTCAATGTTATTAGCAATTGTGTTTGAAACTCAGAACTGTATCTTCTTCCCTAACAGAGGCTGGGAAAAGGCAAACAGTGTCCTGTGAAAGAACTGAAAAACCACTAATTCCTGTAAGGTATCCGGAGAAGTAACCTTTATGTAAGTGCTTTCATTAACAAGGACATGTGCAGCAACTGTTCGTCTTTTTTCTATGAACTGGTTTTGACGACTGTATTTACTCGCTCTGTGGCCCAGGTAACAGGCGTGGTGTATAGGGGAGAAGTAGAAATCCTCATGTTTTGGATACAGCCCTGCCCAATGTTCCTGTGTGCAACCTAAGAAGGGCTGGTCTACATAGAACTAATATTAGTATGTTATGCAACTGGTTAGAAAACTACATAGTAGTTCATTGTCAAAATGGCAAGTTATCAATTGGGATTCTGCAGAGGCCTGTTCTGGGTGAGCTTACTCTAAGTTGTAAATGAAACAGAAAATATATTCATTAAACGTGAGGATAACAGCAAAATGGAAATGTCTGAAAAACAGCAGTAGATCATTACAATTTTATTTCTCTTTTTTTTTTTTTAATCAGGATGTAATTCAATCAGGACAAACGCAAAATGCTACATTTGGTAGGAATAATCAGTTGTTCAAATAAAGAATGCAATAAATATAGGAACAATTGGCAGCGTTTTCAGAAAAGGGTAAGGCAGCTTTAATGGAAGAAGTAGAATATGAGTCAATACTATTATGCTGCTTCACAAAGAGCAATAACAATGGGTTATGCAAAAAGGAGCTCTGGAGTAATCCTGTCCTATCCAACGCAAACAAATGCTTACTAGAAAACTATGACCAGGCTTGGTTTAGTTATCACATACTTGTTGGGGTTTTGGGTGGAATTGGAGGAGGAAGGTTCACTGCAGATTTTGGAAAGCAACTAAAATGACAAGATGCGTATGGAAAATGTGACTGACGTAAAAAACCTGATCATGAAGTCTAAAAATGCCTGAGGAAGGCACAGTGATGTAGTTTCCAGAAGCGCAGAAAGTAACAGGGAAAAACAGCTGCTCCCCCTTTTGCTGTGTACAGAAGGAGATGTAAGTGATCCTTGCCACAACTCTAAAGCATGGCTAAAGGACTACAACAGATTGCCCAGGGAAACTTAAGGAAAAAAACTTGTACTTATCAGACTATCATGTACCTGGTTCCATCTTTAGGTGGCAAGACATTAGGCTAACTTTTGAGGGTTTTTCCAACTTAGTATTCTGATTGCCAATCCTGTACTTTCTAGAATCATCACAGAATGATGATTTGGGTTGGAAGGGAGCTTAAAGCTCATCCAGTTCCAACCCCCTGCCATGGACAGGGACACCTTCCACTAGAGCAGGTTGCTCCAAGCTCTGTCCAGCCTGGCCTTGGACACCGGAAGGGATGGGGCAGCCTCAGCTTTTCTGGGCAACCTGTGCCAGTGCCTCAGCACTTTCACAGGGAAGAACTTCTTCTGCCTAATGTCTAAGCTAAATCTCCCCTCTGTCAGCTTAAAGCCATTCCTCCTTGTCCTGTCCCTGCAGGCTCCAACAGGTCCCTACCTTTCTTATGCTGGGGGTGCCAGATCTGGGTGCAGGACTGGAGGGGCAGGGTCTCATAAAAGCACAGTAGAGGGGGAAAATTCCCTACTTCAACCTGCTGCTCATGCTGCTGGGGATGCAGCCCATGACACAGGGGGTTCCTGGGCTGCAAGGGCACACTGCTGGGTCATGTTGAGTTTCCCATTAACAAATACCCCCAAATACTTCTCCTCAGGCCTGCTCTCAGTCCAATCTCCGCCCAGTCTATATTTGTGCTTGGGATTTCCCTGACCCAGATGTAGGACCTTGCACTTAGCCTTGTTGAAATTCTTGAGGTTTGCACTGGCCAACCCCTCCAAGCTTGTCAAGGTCTCTTACCTCCTCCATCTTGACTGCACCACACAGCTCAGTATTGCTGACAAACTTGCTGAGGGTACACTCAATCCTATTGCAGATGTTGCCACAGCATGAAGAGCATTTCAGGCAAAATACCTACCACTGAATTACCTCTGGGAGGAGACAAATAGTAAGTATCACACAGTTGTAGCAGGGAGAGGAGGCAAAGTGAAATTCAGTCCTTACAAGTTCTGCATTGATTTTAGTCTCAATTTGGTTTGGTCCCCTTCTGTCAGCTGAGTGCAACTCCAGCATCTTTTCTTCAGTAAAAGGTTATGCTGCAGTTACCACCAAACACAAGCTGGTATTTCAGTGCCTAAATGCTACTCCAGCACAGCAGCCAAATAATGTTATGGATGTAATTATGAGAAGCTAAAATAAAAATCTAATAATTGGGTTTTCTAGAAAATCATAATTAGCTATTCAGGCCATACTTGGGAAACACTTGTTTGTAAAAAGGATGAATTTTCTGAAGTCACGGCCAATTTCAAGCATATTACAGAAGCTGTTTAATGTAAAAATCTGACTGATGCTCAATTACAGCACAGTTCATGGCAATTGCCAGCAACTTTTTTATCACACTTGCATCTGTTAGTGAATGGGGGGGAAGCACAAACTGCAAACACCCAAAAGAACAACTGAGTGGGGTATTTTTTTTCACCTGATTCAATACTAACACTAGAGCATGTGATCCTGAGGGACATCAAATACTTTCAGCTCATACATGCTACTCAGAGAAGACCAACTATTTAAGGACCAGTAACTTATTTAATTCCAAACTACACCTCAAATCCAGCCAATTTTGCTTTTAAAAACTTAACCATTTGGCAATGAGATCATGACCACTGTGAATAAGCTTCTAGTTCACCAGCAATGTGGAAGCAAGGATTCACAGCACAAAGAACCCCATGTATCTTACATTGCCACGGTGACTTCTAAACGCTCAGCTACAGAGAAGCATTTTAGTCCTTATGAACAGTCAACTCCACATTTCTTTCCTTAAGATTACTTCCTCTAGGAGCTGGGTGGGTGATGCTAACAAGGTGCTGAGGAGCAAATTCAGTACTGTTACCTGTACACTGTCTTCCATAGCCTACAGAATCTCCTTGTGAGGAATGTTAAATTGAGCAAAGCTAACAAAACCCCATTAAATCTTCCTCTTCCCTCCATGATCCCAACCAAAACAAAATAAGATTGTGAAAGCATGTGCCACCTTTTAGATTTTTATTGTGTTTTGTAAGTGCTTAAAGATACCACACAAGACTGTGCATTGTTGTTGTATGTAGTATGCCACACGTAAACCTCCAAAAGTCCTCATATTCTAATTCAAACACACAAAAAATAGATAGAATAGTATTATCTCATTATACAGAAGGCAAACCACAGAAAGTGTCTTAGGTCCCATAAAACAAAGGCAGAAAGTGTAACACATCTTCCAAAACTGTATATTAAGTCCATCAAAAAAAAACATGTGTTTTTGGCAGCTCTAAACGAAATCAACAGTTGTATTAATCTAGCTAGGGATTGTCAACTTGTTATTTAAAAATAATTTTTAATCAGTTCCTAATTCAGAGGAAATTCAAACTAAGAACTGGTATAAAGGGAATAAACAAAACCTTTTTTCCTCCTTTAATGTAAATTCATTGCCAGACTAATTTGTTATATATTACTCTTCTTTCTTTCATACACAGATGCATATAAATTCATGAAGTAATTCTCAGAGGATGAAGTTAAGTTGTCCAGATCATAATCAATTTCAAAGGTAGGTCTCCTTCTAAAAATTACAAGAGCAAGAAATACAGCAAAGTGGGCAGTAAGTCCCCATATCCTGAATGACATTTTATGTTCCGGGTCATCATATGTAAAGGAGTGCATCCGACCGTGGTAACCAGATGAGGTTTTATAAGGCACAGTCTGGTAATTTAAGGGCTTGATAAAGTATTCCAATGGTATGACAAAAACATTGCTCACTTCATCAGGATTAGGAGAGGGCTGGAATGTATCCTCTATAAATCCTACGACTGGTGTTACCAAGTAATTCATCTAAAAGGAAAAACAAAAAAATAACAAAAAAAAAAAAGCCACACACTGAGTTTGTAACAAGTAAAAGAATGTTCTTTATTTTAAAAACATTTCAGAATTATAAAATGAGTGTAAGAAACCTAAGAAATATGCAGTTAAACATAAATAAACTCCATGCATTCTCTCTCATGAGTCTTCCTTACTTTGGTGATTTCTGATTTTAATTCAGATTTTCTAATTCATCTATGCTTTATCATATCTGTGTCTATTTTCCCAATATATGTGGCTATATAAGTAAACTTTTTCTAACAGCTCATTTATAGACATTTTTATTTTAAATACAATCCCTTTTTCCACAGGGAGGCAAAATCTATTGATCTATTGCACAAAGAGGGCATCAACAGTTTTAACATACATTCCTAGTTCTGCTTATTCTTACCAAAAAAGCATCACTGTTAAATAAAAAGCAGTAACACTCAGCATTTGGGCTATTTGATGCAAGTCTGGACACACTACACCCAAGTCAGAATCACCTGGAATGTATGTACAGAGAAGAAAGTAAAATCTACAGGTAAAATTTCTGTGGTCCAAAACCACACAATTTTTTCTATTAATTGAGGCAATTTGCTGGAAAACACTGAAGAGAGTTATAAAAACTAAACTGATTCTTTTTACATATAGCCTCTGAACTATGTGGCTTTAATGTTATCTCTACAGAAATTATAATTGAAGGATTAAATAAAGCATATGCAGTACAAGTTTAAAACTATTTTCGTTTTTTAATGGGGGCGGATGATGTAGCTACAACATACAAAACCAAGCCTTAGGCATATTAACAAAGAGAAACTGTTACCTGAAAAATAAAGTCTTCTGAAACAGTAACCTCTCTATGCCATGGGAGAACTGACCCCATGAAATATTGTTACTGAAACTGGCAGCCAGCCAATTTAGTTACTTACATTCCAAAGACACCTCCAGAAGAGAAGTCTCCTTGCTAGAGTTCCATACAGAATCACAGTCCACATAACCTCCAGAAGTCCCTTTTCACCTGAATTAACCCTGCCTGTAGCAGGATATTGAACGAGAAGACTTTTGAGGTTACATCAGGCTGCTGAGGGGCTTGTCTGGTTGAATTCTGCAAATCTCCAAGGACAGAGATTATACAGCCTGACAGGAAAATCAGTTCCAGTGTTAAGCTAACCTTATGGTGAAGACACTTTTTCTTGCATCTCATCAAAATTTCATTTGTTGTTGTCTGTGTCCACCGTCTCAAGAAGAGTCTGGTATTATCCTCTCTAAAACCACCAGGAGGTACTTGAAGTGAGCAACTAGATCCCCTGCTGGCTTTCTCATCTTCAGGCTGGGCAAACACACTTCTCTCAGTCTCTCCTCATATTCCACATGCTCCAACCTCCCTTACTTATCTCTGTGGCTCTCAGCTACACTGTCACCAGCTTGGCACTCTTTCTGTGCTCTAGAGTGTCCGTAACTGCACATAATACACCAAACATGCTTTCATAAATACTAAATACAGAACAAGAATTTCTTCCCTTCTCTGCTGGCAATGTGGGCTGTACACTTTAAGAAGCAGTGGTTATTTACAGTTACAGGTTTTAAGAGGTCATTATCAACCCCACAAAAAATAACCCAAGCTTATTTTCTAACCATATGCTGACTTACTCAGTTTATTCCTTACTTTATCAATTCCAGGGACAAGCCTACAGATGACTTCCACCTTCTCTGGCTGGAGTCCCACTTCTTCCTTAGCTTCTCGAAGAGCAGTATCGATTTCATCTTTATCAGTTGCATCACTTTTACCTCCTGGAAAACACACTTCCCCTGGTGATCTTCTCAGCTAGAATTTAAAGGAGTACTACTGTTAAATATAACAGATTTACATTTCTTCTTGGATACACATAAATGCTTGATCTTACTGCAGATTCACTTTACATTTATCAGTCAAAGAAGCTGGGAGTGGTTGTGAAGAGGTTTCTGCAACCTGAAGAAGTGTGCCTTATCAAGAGCTACACAAGAGAAAGCTGGGCTTATACCCAACTAATCCATAAACCCTCACTATCAGGATTACATATATCACTTGTGCGGTACTGTGTAATTCCTACTATACATTCTAAATCTAGACTTCATCATCCTGCTAGCATGAGAGATTGACAGATTAATCTAGGCAGACAACCTGAATACTGAGATCTGAGTACTTAAGGTGAGAGAGAGAGAACTTATAAAACGCACAATTAAATCACAGAATAGTCTGGGTTGGAAAGGACCTTAAGATCATCCAGTTCCAACCCCCCAGCCACAGGCAATGATGCTTCACACTAGACCATGCTGCCCAAGACTCTGTCCAAACTGTGCTTGAACACTGCCAAGCATGGAGCATTTACTGCTTCTTTGGACAACCTGTGCCAGTGCCTCACCACCCTTACAGTAAAGAACTTCTTCCTTATATCTATCCTGAACTTCCCTGTTCAAGTTTGAACTCATTATCTCTTGTCCTATCCCTTTAAATATATCATAGTAATAGGCCTGCATATGAAACATCAGTAAAAAGACCCTTTACAATCAATTTATCAGCTAAGTGACTGCAATTATTATGGTCTTAAAATTTCTAAGACCCCAAAAACATCCACTTTTAAGCCACAGAAAAACAGGCAAGTAAATAGCCCCTGGATAGAGGTAACTGATCAGGGAGGGGGTGGGGAAAACACTGGCAGAAATCTTCTGGGGACTTAGGTTGTTGCCTTTCACACATGAATAGGAGAGAAGAGTAACAGCAAATGCAGACTGAAAGTCACATTAATAAAAACTGGACTGCACTGTGTTTAAGTCATAGGAAACAATACCCATTTCCTTTTCTGATCCAGAAGTCATCTTTTACTGTCATACTCTTCTTGGTATCCAGCATTTTTGTGGCATCTAAATACCAGAATCATCAGCATAGAACCACAGAATAGTTAGGGTTGGAAAGGACCTTAAGATCATCTAGTTCTAACCCTCCTGCCCATGGGCAGAGACACCTTGCAACTAAACCATGTCACCCAAAGCTCTGTCCAACCTGGCCTTCAACACTGCAGGGATGGAGCATTCACAACTTCCCTGGGCAACCCATTCCAGTGCCTCACCACCCTCACATTAAAGAACTTCCTCCTTATATCCAATCTAAACTTCCCCTGTTTAAGTTTTAACCCGTTACCCCCTGTCCTATCACTACAGTCCCTGTACACTACAGCACAGGAATATCTGATCGTAACCTCAGGCACACTGCCTGGCATTAGAGAAGCAGACACCGCGGGAGGCAGCACACAGGGAGCGAGACTCCGGCAGCCATGTCACTCCCCGGCACCGGCCCACCTACCTGCATGGACCGCACCGTGAGCAGCAGGTGCAGCTTCCCCGCCCTCACCATCAGCGGAAGGAGAACAGCGGCTCTGGCCAGCGGCAAGTGGGAGAACCTATCCCGCACATCGAACTCCCTCAAGCGCAACCTGGCCTTCTCTTTGATACTGTTTCTAGGAGCAAAGAGAAAGGACCGCCATGACACAGGGCCGGTGTCTGTCAGCCGCGCTGAACCCAACAGCCGCAGTGCCTAGGCCGCTAACACACAGCTCACCACCCTTCCTCTACCCGGACCTGCTTCTGGCGTACCCGGGCAGGGCTTGTAGCCGGCGGCAGCCCGGCCCGGCCGGCAGCGGAGGAAAGCCGTGGATGTGCGGTACCTTTCCAGCTCCCCATCCTGCTCCTCAGCCGCCATCTTTGTCACCCCCGACCCGAACGGAGACCTCCCCTTCAGCCCCGCTTCCCGCCCACCCGCCGTGACTGACGGCAGGTTCCGCCAATCAACTAGCGGGGGTCCTTGACAGACGGCCGAGCGCAGCGGTTCCGCTCCGGGGCCGCTCGTTGAGGGGACCTTCGGGCGAGCGCGGCTTGGTGGGAGTCATCCGGTCCCGGTCACAGCCGTCCCGGGCTGCGTGTACCCGGAGAAGGGCGGCAGCAGCAGCCCGCAGGCCTCGCTACAGCTGCGAAAAGCAGGAACCGCGGAGCAGTTTGGGTTCGCGGTCCTCCCGCAGGGGATGTAGGTCGGTGGGCTCCGGTGTGAGCCGGTCCCGTGCCTTAGGTAAGGGGTCTGGTAGTACAGGGAGCCGCGTGCTCGCTCTCACCTGCTTTAAGGGATGGATGAAGTGAGAGGTTGCAGCCTGCAGCTGCCGGGGGACAACGGGAAGAGCCATGGCACACGTCTGGGAGCCCGACCACCTGCAGCCTGTAAGAGCTGCAGGGCATCAAAAGACCCTCTCGGCTCAGTGCTCTTAATTTGCAGTGGAATAAAACCAAAACAAACCAAGGTCTTCGAGCTTATTTTAATCATTCAGTGCAAGTAGGAAACAGTGTCAGAGACTGCCTCCAGCTTGGTGCAGTTTCTGGGCAGTAAAATAGAGCTTCCAATTCTTGTTACAGATGCACAAGTAGCAGGAGTAGTTTCCTGCTGCATTGGTTTATCATCTAGTTTTAACTGCTGGTAATCGGTGTTACCTGCATTTAAAGGGCCACCACCATAGTACAATCAACATCGCATCCTGCAAAACCCAAGGCACAACACCCCAGTTACATGGAATGTACAAGAACTAATCTCAGTCTAGCTACCTTAGTGTTTATATTTTAGAATTTTTTTTCTATGTTTACTCTTTTATTGCATTAAGGTAAAGAGCCAACTGTGTTTTCCACTAGGTATGCACTTTGTACAGTTGACTTAATCTCAGGTCCTTAAATGCGTACTCGGCCTATTTGTTACAGAAAGAAATGTGTATATATTTACACACACAAGCTCACATTTAAAAATAAGTGCAGTTTATATACAGTATGCCTAATGTGTTACATCACGTAGTAAGTTAAAACCCAAACATAATGGCATACACATGTACATGTCCTGGCCGTGTCCCAATCTGCCATGATTCCAGCAGACTATAACACCCATTTTATGGCTCTTGCTCTGTCGAGGTTTCACTGGAACTCGGACAAAACTGTTTCACTTTTAAACTGTTCTACATAATTATTATAAGAGAAAATATGTGGAATAATATCTTAAGAAAATGTAGTTCTTCAGTGAAAAGAGTGCAATTAGTAGATTACTTATTATTCAGACATTTTAGTGTTCCAGAAGACTGGTGTTATCAGATCTTATACTTCTCTTTGGCTTTCTCTTTCAGAATGCAGATGTGCTAAAAAAAATAAAAATAAAAATAATTTGAAAAAAGTAAAACTTTAGTCAATCTTTACCTTCAAAGGAAATGCAAGGATGTCTTTCAGTTGTATTTGTAGCATTGTAAGCAAAACACAGAATAGTAACCTTTGAGAGGTTGGTTGCAATTTACCACTTGCAGTAAAATGGAGGTGTTTAAATTACAGATGAGCTTGGAAGCAATACTTAGATTTGTATATTCTGAAGAGGTCAGGTCTGTTCAGTTATTGTATTCTTCATATCACTTTGCAATAGCGTCGATCCAATATGTGTCTTATTAAAAAGACTTTCAAGTGAAGAGCTTTTGCACTTAACCAGATGTAAGAAGGTACTTTTGAAAACTAAGGAGGAAAAAAAGATCAGCTATTTTTGTCAGTTATGGTCCTTCCAAGTCTGCTACTCAGTGCAGCTTAAGGAGAATGTAATGGAACAAAGGAAATAAAGATATTAATGGACATCTTACATATGATAGGAAAACCTTCATGCACAGTTCACACACAGCCATCTTAAAGAGCTGGCTAGAAAAGAGCAACACAGGATTTCAGTAAGACAGACAAACATCAGTATAAAGCCAAATTACAGGTTACTTTCTTTCCAGGTAGGGCTAGCAGATTGCATGCTGCCAGCCATCCTGGAGGACTCAGAACACTGTACAGCAGGGCTGGGCCACAAGACTTGTACAACCCTAACTATTCTATGATTCTATGATACATGGAAAGGTAAGGCATAACAAGTTCTGCATTTACGTTGAACTATCAGCTTGGCATGTTAGTAATGTTTTGCCCCTTTAGTGGAACTTTTTAATGAGATTTGAAGTTTTGGTAATGGTTGAGAAGTTCTGAGTGTAAGCTAATATTCTTGCTTGTTACCTGAGGTAACAGACATATGTAACAGTTGAGGCACACATGTATGTACTCACGTTTAGATCTCTGAAGTATTCATTGTAATCAAGTGCATATCCAACCACAAATTTATCTGGAATTTCAAAGCCTATGTCTGAAAGAAAATAGAATTATTTTTATACTGGGGTGGTGTAAATTGCTTTTAAGCACACAGTTTGTATTCAGCGCATGCTCTAGGTGCTTAATACCTAACAAATATCTTTCTGTCTAGGTACATTCATTTAAAATCAGAGCTGTAATTTGATGTCAAAAGTTAGAATCTGTACCATCCTCATCACTTAGTAATGCAATTAAAATGCTAAGAGAATGTGTTTTAAGAACAGAATAATTATTTAAAACCTACTTATGCAGTAGTCTTGGGAAAGGCAGACAAGGAGTGAGTAAAAGTAGTTGCCCTGAGAGTCTTCAGTTTGAAAACACGGCAAGTTTAATGTAGAGTCAAAACAAATTCCTTGTAGGATCCAAGACAAACAATACAAATATAGTGGTTGGTTCTGTTTATGGTTGTCGTGGTTTAAACCCAGTCAGGTAACTCGTTCACTCACTTCCCCCCATTTCTTGCCCTCCCCCTGCTCTCGGAGGGACGGAGAGGAGAATCAAAAGAATGCAACTCCCACGGGTTGAGATAAGAACAGTTTAGTAACTAAGGTATAACACAAATCACTACTGCTACCACCAATAATAATAATGATAAAGGAAATAACAAGGGAACAGAATACAACACCTCACCACCCGCTGACCGATAACTCGCCCCCCAAGCCCGACCAAGCTCCGACCAATACCTCCTCCAACCCTGCAGTCTCCCAGCCCTTCCGGCTAACTCCCAGTTACATCCTGGGCATGACGTGCTGTGGTATGGAATAGCTCTTTGGTCAGTTTGGGTCAGGTGTCCTGTCTCTGCTTCCTCCCGGCTTCCTCTCCTCCCTGGCAGAGCATGAGGCTCACAAAGTCCTTGGCCAAACCAAAACATCTCTATCAGCTCTGTTCCCGAGCCGAAAGTCGAAACACTGCACTGCACCAGCTACCAAGGAGGAGAAACATGACTGCTACTGCTGAACCCAGGACAATGGTACCTGGTAACAAACAGCCAAACCCGTGCTCAGACCAATGGGGATAAAAAAAGGTGGTGGCCATGAAGTTTCAGCATGGGATAGCTGGTCATCAGTTTGGAAATTGTATGTATTTTCTCCCCATTTCTTTTGGCCTTCCTGAAATTTATATGCCAATTGTCAGACTTCCTACATGAAGTGAGATTATGAGACTGTATTTTGGACAACCAGAAAAACGCAATGCTTACAGTCTGGTCTGTAACCTGGATTTCTGTGTGTCCTTTTAATGAGCAGGCTGTAAGGCAAAGCCGAGAAGGTTATGTTTTTTAAAATATGTCTTGCTTTAAGAGGTATGCTTCACTTCTACCTCCCATCCCTATAAACTTCTATAATCATGCAGTTAAATTAAAACAATGAGACTGCAACAGGAAGAAGCAGTGTTCAGCCTTGTAACTGAGGAAGAAGTTAAGGCACTGGTCTAGGTTCAGTCTGAAGGTCCAAATTACTCCGTTGTTTTCTATTTAATTATGTTCCATTCTGTATCCAAAATCATGTAGCCATGTATCAGCAAACTAGACTAGCACAGGCAGGTAAGCATGTTCAAGTGGCATTTAGATTTTAGCAGGGAGGGAGGGAGAAGAGGACAAGCTATGGATTTCTTCCACAAAGTCATATCCATACTTGCTTTTCCTAAGCACTTCTGAACAAACTGAGGATCTCCTGGAGAGTCATTAGGAGAATCATAAATGGTACATCAAACAAGAAGTGTATTTTCAAAGTACTGTGATTACTTGACAGACAGGTCTATTCCCCAAGAATTCCTTCTAGAGACCATCTAAAAGCAGATCTAGAGTGCCACTTGAAGTAATCTTGCAAGTGCTGACAAACTCTTAGATTCTGAAAACCAGTATGACTGAGGATATTAAGGAAAATTCTGAGTGTTGTCATTCTAGTACTGAGGCAACTGAAGTGTTAGGAAACCTATGGAAAGAGCTGATTTTTTCAGACATAAGGAGGTAAGAAATGGAATCTATCACACTTTATGGACTATGCAAAAAGAGCCAGGAAACCATTTTTTATTCATTTTGAGAATGAAGGTGGTAGTAAATTTCCCGGTTTAATATATACTTAGTTTTTAGCTGCATAAAGATTGCCTTCTGCTTTTACTTCCTCTTCCCCCAAACTTCAGACTAAACAAAACCAAGCAAATACCCACCAGCATACACTGATTATTCACCTAAATGATTTTGCTCTATCTTACATTACAATACATTATTAAGTGTCCATAACAATTATACCTTACAACTTTTACCATCTTTGGTTCATTGTCTTTTAGTTTTGAAAGTAGGGCTTTCATTGTTCTACCAGTCTCAATAATGTCCTGAAAGAGAGACAAAAACAAATTGCCCTCTGAGACTGAAAGAAAAACCCGGCTGTGAGTGGATTAATTTAAAGCCCCAAAACCAGTCAGCCACCCTGGCAGCAGAGTAACATAATAAATTGTTTGTTTATATGCAAAAGGTATTAACTTGCAAAACATGGGGGAAATGTGTTTTTCCCCACTATCCCTTCCTTCCCTCCTTCTCCCCCCCCCTTCCCTCCTTCTCCCCCCCCCTTCCCTCCTTCTCCCCCCCCCCCCTCACCCCAAGTCTTACCTCTACTACTAAAACATTCTGGAAATGATCATGTAGAGAGAGAAAAAAAAAAGAAAAAAGGTATTTACATGGCAAGTGAATTACAGAGTCAGCAGAAATTTGCACTACAAACCTCAGTTAACAGAGTTTTCAAAGGAGCTTGTCACTTTAACTACTTTGGTTATTTTAGTGCCTTCCAAATAGTCTTTCAGTTGGTATTTATGGAAGCATAAAATATCTTAAGAAAGCTGCCTATGTCAGGTTTTACATATTATTCTATGTATAGCAATAGCATTCTAGAACCATACTGCAAGAGTCAGTTTTAAGATGGTTCATTTCTAGGAGCTGTGGGATAAAATGGGGAATAGAAGCATTCAGTATTGATCATGTTAAGTTTGCACTGAGACCAGTGGGAATTACTCACTGTTTGAAAGGATGGCAATTTAAACCAGTGTTAAGTGGCTGCAAGTAACTAGTGTCAAATTTTAATAAAGATGGACTTACTGGAAGATACACAATAACTGTTCTTTCCCTTGTAAAAGCTGAATATGCTAATCATACCTTCCCATTTAGTGTACACAGTTCCTCGCCTACAATACTGATTTTTTCTGTAGGTGAATCATTCTAGAAGGAGAAAGAGCAGAGGGAAGACACATAAAACATTCTCAGAAGTGTTATTTTTTTATGTGTATGAATGGTATGTTGCTCTTGCATTTTGCCCATCAAATGACACTTGCAAATTTACACAGCACTCCTTCAAGTAAAACAGCTTTCAAGCATCTGAGAGCAAGCACAGATTTGTTTTATAATTCCATGAAGAATTTCTGGGATATTGTAAACTGTTATATTTAGCAAAGGATAATTTTTGATCAGTGCACAGAGTTGAAGTCTTCAAAAAAGGGAGAAGATAAAACAGAAAAAAATGGCATAAGTCATTGCTTTACAGTAGTTGGCTCAGGCCAACTACAGTTGGTTCAGGTAAAAGATACCTGTTCTCCACACACAGATTATGGAAACAAGGCTCCAATATTATCCATAGGAATAAAAAGTAATGCTGAGAGAGACAATAAGCAAGTCTGTGATGCTAAACTCTCCATACTCCCTCCCACCAAAGGGTGCCATGGTACAGACAGAGCAGAATCTGTGTGGAAACTGTTGGCTGGAGAGGAGGATGTTGGAAACTTGACCCTGGCTTTGTCATATTAAGTGTTCTACTATGTGTTCACTCCAGTGACTATACAATATTCATCTGGTCGTCGGGGCAGATCAGTAAATCAGCATGTAATAAATTGAGTTGCTTTGAACAGGATATATACATAAAGTCATTTTGAGGTGTACTTTTCATGTAAACTACCAGTATTCAGAATGTAAGTCTATAGGGAGTCTATTTCCAAAGAAAATAAAGTTGCTTACACAGTAGCTTTTTATTCTAACAAAATCCACAGTAATAGGCACAGATTTATCACCATTTTGATTTAGTGCTTTTATATGGTCCAGCAAATCAGCAAAGAATTTATAGCCTCCTTTAAGGACACAGAGTGCAACAATATGGTGGCTTCCCATATCTTGCATTATATCTCTAGCCAAGCGTTCTGTTCTGGAAGGGAAAAAAAAAAAAAGAAAACAAAACAACAACCCCTCCTAAGTTTTATAAGACCTGTAAAGTGTTTTATATATCATGTTAGTTTGTCCATATGTTAAACAATGTCCATATTAAAATGTTGATCATGCAAATTGTGGCCATGCTAAGACATGGAAAAGCTAGTTATGTACTTCCAGTTCACAAGATGGTGCCTACCTATTCCACTTGTCATACTGCTGATTTAATCTATTTATCTAAAAAATGCAGAATATGAAAGCTTAAAGATATTTGAGATAAAATGGAAACTTAACTGGGATTGTAGAGGAATCCTCTAGAATGCCCTTTGTATTAAACTCCAGAATACAAGTAGTATAGCTGCAGGGTTTCCATGTTTCTCAGGACTATACAGGGTAGGACCTCAGTCTTATCATTTGGATGGAAATGAGTCACTGTCATTGCTATCACTATTTTTTGTTGTTTACCCTCATACCTGTCCAGGATGAGTCCATGAGGAATGAAGACTCTTTCTAAATCTTCTTCATAATGCTTAGGAATGCAAAATAGATTTTTGTTATAGCCACTTTCTTCATCTTTTATCTGCAAGTGAAAGGGAAATAGTTCTTAAAAGTAACAACTGAACCATACAGGAAAAAGCCTTTCAGTCTCTGATAATGATAAAAGACTCCTGTCCCCACACACCCCAATAATGTGTCAAAAGTGTATCTGAGAGCTTTTGAACTTTCTGATAGAACAGTTCACAATCTGTCTGATAATTCAGGAGCTAGTGTGCTTGTCTGAGATTTGAACAGCTACATAACTATTTTACCGCAGTCATAGTAAGAGAAATTCTCAACCATCATAAACTAATAAAAATGACCCCCAAAACCAAACCACCCTCTTGTATTCTCTTTTTCCCCTTCTGTGGAGCACAGCAGCTTGCTTGTGTGCTAGACAAGCAAAAATTAAAATTATGGCTCAAAGCTTCACTAGTGTGAAATAGATGAGCTACACACTAGTTGCATTCAACAGAACTCAATACAGTGGCTCGTTAACAGCACAGAGCTGTGGACTTGGTAGTAATAGCTTAAAGTATTGCTAGCAAACAACACCTGCAAACTCTTTAGACAGATGACTTGGTTTTAGTTCTTTTTTTGGCATGTGGGAGATGAGCACATAGGTAGAAAGGAAAAATGAATGTAGGGAACAGGAATAGGTTATCACTTGCAAAACTTACAGCAGCCACAAAAATGAGATAACCAGTTACTGCCATTCATTTTTAACTTGGCCACAAATAGCTTACTTAATTTAAAGATAAATCTAAAGAGGCAGATGTTAACAAGAGTTGCAAAGAACAGATAATTGTAATACAAGGCAGTGTATATAGAATCTCATCCTGGCTGAGCTAGGGGTAATCTGCAAGTATTCAAAATTGATAGGCCTTGGTGTTCCAAGTTAAAATTACAGAGCAACCTTGCAGTTGAGCACTGTTTAGAATGTCAGCAACACTATTTTGCCTGGTTTAGTTACTATTCATGGTTGAAGTCAGCGAAGTGAAAGCTTAGTTGATTGATTATTTTAAATTAAGCCTGTGCTTTATTCAGCTTGGAAAAGATATGGGCAGTTACACTGGTGTCAGCTGTAGATCAGGCTAGACAGTAGCATCTATGAACAGGCTTTTATACAGTGCAGAGCTGGTTATTATTGTTGGAGTATTGGCCAGTTTGAAATGGGCTAATTTCTGCCTGTGTGAGGTTGCTAGTGGTGACAGACAGAAAACACATACAGGATATGGGGTTCTGTCAACATGAAGCTGTGACAGTGGGACATAATTAGAAGCATTGGTCAAAGTGACAAGATGGCGCTTATTTGTTTATTTGGAACATAAAAGCATAATTTTCATTTGGAGTACAGAAAAAGCACATTTAAGGATAGTCACTGACATGATAAACAGTTTAAAAAGTGCTGTAAGGTGAGTTGTTTATTTTGTCATTTTGTTGTTCTGGTTTTGTTTGGTTTTGTTTGGTTTTTTTTTTGTGTGTGTGTGTGTTTTGTTTTGTTTTTTTTTTAACAAGAGTCCCCATCTCTACTGCATTCTGCATAACTGCAGCTGAAATATAATGACTGTGCCACCTGTGAATTGAGCAGTTTTTCTTTCGCCAAGTCATGATACTGATTGCCATATTTAATGGGTATCAGCTTTACAATTTGCTTTTGCAGCTATGAATTGGTCTTTCATCTGCACAGCGAGGTAAAGTTCAGCCTTGTTGATGAATTTCACTTCCTGCTGCATTTGATGAGAGGCAATACAACTGGCTCAGCTCGAGTGAGTGATGAGCTTTGTCCATGTTAATGTAACTATTGAACAAAGCTGATCTTGATGAATATAGGTGTGTGTAGTGATTACTGCTTTTAGGTACTCTGACAATGCAGTTTAGTACCTTCTGCTTGGCTAACAACTATGCTCATTGAGATTATTTTGCACAATGTCTGCCACATTAATATCTTGTTTGTTGCTATGTGTGAAACATTTTTAAGTTCTGCTGAAAGGTTCATGAACAGAACCTAAAGGATTGCATCAATTTGAGCTCCACATCACCATAGCAACATCCTGCATATGCCTTATAGGCTCATAAAAGCATTTGTATTGTGGCACATGCTAAATAATACAGCAGAACTGCATTATAATAGAGCAATCTACTAAACTATTACACAAAGCCGTTAAATTTTTAAATCATGAGCTTATAAGGTGAAGAATCAATTGTTTAATTTAGATTCGGTCTCATCTGTTGTTCATTTACTGATGTAGTTTTCTGAGTTTAAGTAGGAAAAAAAAACAACCCAACAGCAATTTTGTACACTAAAGAGACTCATAAATAAGTATTGTTTCATCAGCAGTGAAGGAAAGAATATGAGTATAGGTATATTAATGTCAAATTAATAGTATCATAAGTTTGTAAAAAAATGTAGTCTATTAATATGCCTCTGTTCTGAAAACCATTTTTTCTCGTGATTAGATATAAGAAACAAGGCCTTTCATTAGTCAGTATTTCTAATGTTCTAGTATTTTGCTGAAGCTAATTTCTTACCTCATGCCCAAAGCTCCCTTCAATTAAGTAGGCAAATACGAGTGCAATATGTTGTCTTACCTGCAGTCCACAAGCCATAATCTTTCTTTGAACTATGGTACTGGAGAATGAGTTGGTACTGTCACTGCAGTTTATCTTGCTCTATTTTCATCTTGGAGTCAAATCATGACCTGCTTCTGAAAGGTCAAAACTGCCATCCTTCCTACATGAAGCATTACTTCTTTCTGCTAATGCACTGACATCACAATCCTAGGTTCTTACTTAATCAGATTAATCAGAGATAAAATAGGCATGAGCCCTGCTATGACCAATCACAGAAAAGGTATGGGGAACAAGAGAGATGCAAAAGGGAAGCTCATGAATCAAATTAGTAGGAAGGGCTAGGTAGGGTAGGGTTTTTCTAATTGAAAACACAAACTGGATAATGAGTTATAGCAGACGATAATTACGTGGTATATGTGCACAAGGTAATTTTACATATCAGTTTCTTTATTATATCTGCACATCCATTGTTGTGATAAAGCCCACAGCATTTTAAACCTAAGATGTGCTAAATTGCTGAAAAAAAAAATCAGTATTTGAATAAACAAAGCCATGCTTTTAAAGATGACCTGAAGCAGGGAAGTCTGGAGCTGTTGAGACATTCTGAATCCTGTCTGACATTCTTCCAGGCCATCGTTTCATAAGATGAAGGGGTGATAGTTTGAGTAACATGCTTCACATCGTTTAAAATCAAATCTCACTGACATACACTGTAATCTGATTAGGGTACCAAACTGTACTATTATCTGGGATTAACATGAAGGTTTTAGATTTCTAAAAATTAATCCTACTAACAAAATGAGCTAAAGCCAGCTTGCATGCAACGTTACAGAATGTTCTTACTAGGTTGGGTACATTTTATTAATTCATCAAGTATTGTGTTTTCTTGGGGAGAGGGCATATTTATGAAGGAAGATTTTTCTTTTTTCTTTGTAGTCTTATGGATGCTCTTCAAATTGTGTTTGATAACACTTGGTAACACAGATATGCTCTTCCAGGTGGATTAATGGGCATATCCACAACTTTCAGTGATACATTAAATAGTGGCACTATTTGGAAACTACTAATGCCTTGAGGCTACTTGGCTTCTGTTTCATGCAGTTAGCAACACTTTCCTTCTACAAATTCCCACTGTATTCCCTACCTTACACGTGTGAGCTCCCTATCCTGTGAAAAGCCTTGCTTTTCTAATTCCTAGTGTAACACAGTCCTTTCTAGCTGGGAGTAAATTGTGTTCAAAAACCTGGAGAATTTCCTCAACAAAATCCTGCTTTGAAAGGAAACATTAACAAAACCCATACATGTAAAGAGCAATGGCTTGAGCAGATACTCTCCATTATTCTCAGAAGCCAAAATGAAGGCAAACAACAGCACTGCTGGGGGCTCATGCAAACATGCATTGCCTTTGTAAGTGTTTGTGGAGAAAAGTAAGAGAAAAGGGGGGGAATCTCAGACTAGTTTGTGTGTTTTCTCTCTCCTGAGCTTTTCAACCCAGAGTAATTTAAATTTAGCTATGCTGAAAGGATGTTGGAGCTCTAGAGAGCCCTGAATGGATGATGCCATGGTAGAATACTAAGTGTAGCAGTATTGCTCATACAGATTGCCCATATATCACACCTACAACTTTAGATTACTAGTTCTAGGATTTGAACTTTTTTTTTCCCAATTACAGGCAAAAAAAGACATATCTAGATTTCATATTTGTTGATTCTCCTGTAATTTTCCACATTTAAACAGAATTTAGTGTAGTTTTGCTAAGATCAATAGTATGTGTGAGATTAGTTGTTTAAACCTCTTTTTAATGAAGGGGCTAATTATTGGTACTATCTCAGTTTGCAGTTTCCAACAGCCTAACTGAACTGAGTTACTGAAATTAGAGTGAAGAAATAAATATTGTGTGCATATCTGATATGATCTGTAGCACCCAATTTAGCTCTGCCCTTTTGTTAAATGCTCTGTTCTGTATATTATGATTTTTTTTGTGCACTTGATCTCTGTATAGCAAAACCTTGACTGAAGATCATACATCCTAGGCAGCCTTAAAATATTCTCCAGTGTAATATGGTTATTAGACCACCTCTTTTGTGTAAATTACTTTTATAAATCTTTGAAGTCTTTACTGCGGGCAAGTTTGATTTTGCATTACTCATATTTTTATATACACTGGACCTTGCAAAGCTTTGTCTCCTTTAGGCACTGTAGTGTTTGATCTCATTTGAACTGTGTCCGGTTCTAAAGTCCCGTTTAACTCTGTTTCAGAAAAAGGTTGCAGAAAATCCCTCCCACTGACTTTATTTCTGAGTTTTTGCTGCACTGGGAGTATTGTCTGAGCTACAAATAAGTGCCAACTTTTTTACTAGAATACATGTTTAGAAAGAGCAGAAGAATTTCATTTATAAGTGGTACATGCATATATATGCATGTATTATATAATTATAGTATTATTACATTTTCTTAGCAAGTACTGATTTCTCTTTAGAGAAACTGACAACAAAAGAAACTGTTGTGATATTGCTTTGTGATGTGGGCGTCTGTTCAGCTGGAATGAGATTCCTGTAATTGAACTGGGAAAATAAGTGTATTCTACTAAAATCCCCATAGACGGAAAGTGTCAGACAGGCCACCATGTAGCCTCCAAAACTTTATGAAAGGATTCGTGAGAAAAAGTCAACAGCCCACCAGGGAGAAAAAAGAGCAGATTTTAGAACTCTGGGAGACTTGGAATAGAAAAGTTTAGTGTTGGGAAGAATATATGCTTTCATTAAACTTTAAGCTCCTTCAAGAAGCCTCTGCTTACTCTATCTAAAACTCAGAAAACTACTTCCCAAATAATATTTGATTTAGGATTCTCAGTAAATTCCACAGAACTATAATAGTAGCCACATACCACTATCAGCTGGCAAGTACTTGAAAATCCAGTAAATGTGTTAGTGGTCTCAATTAGTGGGCTGAGATTTGCATTATGAAAGTTACTGCTACAGTGACTATTTTTATTGTCCCATTCTGAAGGAAGAACAATTCACAGGTGAAAAGTTCATGCTAAGAGAGCCCTTTGTCATTGCTGAATAATGGAAATAGAATGTAGCCTGTTGGCGTCCTTATGTGGTGTCTCAGTTATAGATCATGTGATCATACACCCATAGGAGAGAACAAAAAAGTGCATGTGCATATGTATTTGTTCCATATAGGAGTCCCAAGTGCATCTTCTTTAAAGTAAAATGTTTTGAGTAAACCATCGAGTGAATCTGCTGTCGATCTACTGCCCTCCTCTAAATAGCACAGTACTGAGAGAGCCAGTAAGGTAGCCTGTACAAACAGACTGGAGATTAATTAGATCAGCACTGATAGCTTGATAAAACATCATCTGGTCAATACAGAACAACACTGCTCTTGTCCTTGCATCTATTCTCTGAACTACTGAATCAATAATTACTTTTTTCAGGACATGATTTTGCTGTTTACATACCTAAGTTCATTACAGTTTGAAGTAACTGTTCTTGAGACTAATGTAATAATTTCAAAGGTCCCCAAGAAACATTGTATAATCACTAATTAAGTCCTGCCATTTTCTTGTAGTTACTTTGAATTGGAAAGCAAATTGGTAGTATCATACAAATGTTCCATTAGATTACTAAAACCTTACAAATAAAACATCAGAGGAAAATGTCCACTAGAGGGAAGTCTCTACCGTGGAAGACAGTACTTGCCAAAGGGGAAGAAAAGCCTACATTTTATGAAGGAGACTTTCCAGACTAAGAAACTCTGTGTTCAATTAATAACTGCACAGATATCTCAAAGAAATGCAAATACAATCAGGTAATTTAAAACAGGCTTCTTAAATATTTAGACCAGATCTGAACTTGTATAATTGTGGATTAAAGGAAAACTGCTCTGATTTCCATCACTGGAGACTTGACCCATGGTCTCCATGTTCCAAGTGGCTAATAAAACCTTAAATTAAAGCTTATAGTTTGTATTCAGTGACTGATGTGTTATTAGGAAACCTAATTAATACACTTTGAAATGGCTCAACTTTAGTAATTTGGAGCCCATCCTAAATCTGTTTTTCGTTTGGCACTTTTAAGACTAAGATAAGACCAACTGCTTAATTGGTTTTTGTTTGGAAAAATCACACTGCACATGCCCTGGTAAACAGTGCAAGTTTATGATTAGAAATTAGAAACACTTTTGCTATTTTAGTCTTTATCACATGTACTCTTTTTATTATATGACTCTTATGTAAAAAATCTCATGGGTAAGAACCTTCATACTTTACTTGGCTCTTTTCTGTCTGGTCTGAATATGAGATTATTCTTATTTTACTGAAGCAAAAAGGTGGTAGACATCTTGACAAATATTGGATATTTATAAATGTTGTGCTCGAAAATGTCTGCTTTTACAACTCTTCCAATACCCCCAACATCTAGACATCAAGCAAACACAGACCGATTGATGGCAGAGCTTGAAGGAAACGCTCCTGTAAAAGGTGACTCGGATTTAAGTTTGCATAATTCTTGAAAATACACTAACACCAATTCCCAAATAGACAAGTTACAAATTCTGTAGACTTAGGCATTCTGGTTGTTGACCTGGAGGAAATGTACAATATTTATTAGCAATGTCTTTCCATCCATAGCATCAATGGTGGAGTAACTGTGTGAAGGAAACCTTTATATAGCTTTTGCTACATTTGTTTGGTAGGTAGGAAAAATGTTTCAGTCTCCTGTATTGTCTATGTTAGGAAGTCATTTTGAGAGAGGTTCTGGTTAGGACTGGGGCAATAGGGCAGAGAGAAAAGGAATCAGGACTTCTGGATTTTATTCACAGCTCTGACATACCGTTTATTTGCTGTACGACCGTGGCCAATTTATTTTCCTGACTGCTCCTGTTGTACCTCTGACCTTCCCATGTGCCTGCTTTTCCCCTGGTGCCTCCTGTAATCAGCTGACCTTAGTTTTCTGAGACTCCTCTCCTGTGGACTACATAGGTCATGGTTATTTTTGGGAAGGTGCCATTTAAGAAACACTGTTGCGGTCATTAGCTAGTGGTCAAATTAATGCTTTGAAAAAAAGACTGTGGTCTATTTATTTGAATGTTAAAATACAGTTGTTATAGTTCAGTGTGTCAGTGGACAGGCGTGAGCTGCTCCATAACTGCCATAGTGTCCAGTGTGCCTGATCAAGTTCCCCCCACCCCCCAACAGCTGGTTGAATTGTTTTACCTAGGGAGCAATGGGTGGTCCAGGAAGCAGCCTGCTCTGCTCTTGGGGAGCTGGACTCATCTTCACTGCAGAGATGTTTAATAAAAATATTTGTTAAACAATGGCTTTATCTGAGTGTGTGATCACAGCTGTTTTATTTTAGCAATGTAACAGCAATAACAATTAAATCCATATTCCTCCTTGGATATTTATTTTCCTGAACTCATTCTTAACGTGGTGAAAGAATTTGGTGTGAATTGCTCTTTTAAAATAGAACTGCATGTAGTGGATTTCAGATTACTTGTATTACCTTTGTATGATTTTTCTATTACTTGAGACCTTGAAACGGTATAAAAATACATACCACAGAGAGGCCACATTTAAAAATACTCTAAAATTCTTCCCTCTAGTTTTTTCTAATCACTATTTTTAATTGTTAACAATGTTCTGTTCTGCAAAGCCATGCCTGACTATTAGAAAAGCTAAGTCCTATCTTCCCATAACAGCATGTAAGAAAAATACGGATTATGCATTTTGATAAAATGAAAAAAAAAGCTCTTTTAAGATACCATGCAATTAGTGCATTCAAATAAAGATAGCTCATCTCT